AAACCCAGTAACTCATTTTTATGAACTTTTCAAGAGAGCAATTAATAGTACAATGTATTGACATAACGTTGACAAATAAAGTTGACAATTGTAGTATGGGCATTATGGTGTTTTAGGTCGCTATGTTTGTGATTATTATATTGTTTTTATAATATATTTAGTATTTTGCAAAATATTGAACATACGATGTTTTTTAACAGGAATTATGATGCTTTTACTACACCAATATGTAGTATGTCAAGTTACGGTTTTATTAATATTGAAAATGTTGCACTATAAGCCATGAAAAATTTAGTAAGGTACTTTGCTAGCTATTTCCAATGGTATCATGCTTACTGGTGGTTTTAATTTCTGGTAAATATATGACTTTACTATGTTCTTACACTTTTTGGCGGGAAGCAAGACCATCGGTAGATTGCTTTGCTAGGTTCTTCCATTGAACGGCAGAAATCAAAATAACTTCAATTTAATTAAACGCTATTGAAATAACTAGTAAGAATGAATGCTGTGTTTTTCCATTTGGAGGTGAGGTTGTTTATTCAGTAAATGCCATAGTTTAAGTGAAATGATAGGTTCTTCCACTGCAAATCGGATTTACTATATTCTTGCTTTGAAAAGATATAAATTATGACACTTACTAGAAAATTCCATTGAATGTAGAATGCTTATTAGTTGGAAGTGATCTACAAAGTTTATACCTCTACAAAGGAAAAAAGTAGTACTTTCAGATCGTCTCAAAGTCTAATTTTAAGCAAAAATTGACTTACTAGGTTTTACCTTCGGACGGGAGAATAGGAACATGCACAAGAGACACCGATACCTATGGGGTACCTTACCCCATTACTACCAACGTCTTTCTGACTATCTCGACAGAAAGCAATCTCGGCTTCCCGATTACTTTGCAGCTCATGTGCACCGGGCCTTATTGTACAATCATTTACACATGAAGTGTGCTCCATTAGTGCTTTATCTGTGGATAGTGTGATGCTACAGAAAATTGAAATTACACAATTGTTTGCTGGTCTCAATTTTTGTTTGTATGAATGTATGGGGCGCTTTATAAAATTATGTGGTATGAGACATAAGTTATTATAAATGGAAAACTATTTTATTATAGAGATGGATTGTTCTAAAAAAGCTAGCTCAATTTCACCATTTTTTAGTACGATTACCTACTTCTTTAATTCGACTTATTCACTTAATAACAATCTCTTGGCGCACCCGACTAATTTTCTTCTATAACACTTTACAACTAGCAAGACGGACTGTCTTGCAATAATTCGTTAAAATCCGACAAATCTGCCAATCACCACAACAAGCAGCTACATTAACATTACCGTCCACACCAAACATGTCACAGTTCACGTCTTCTCCTGCTATTTAAAACATTACCGTCTACACTCGGCAAATTGTGTATGTCCGCTTTTTGAAATACATAAATCACGTCAGCGGATGAAAGTATCGGCAATCGTTGGCAACCTGAATATGATGTCGGCGGAACGGACGGACGGATGGACTCGAGCGCCACCCAGGGTTACGGCCTTGTTCCTCGTCAAAGTCAACTATGGCAGCGGTTTGCAGGATGGTCTCGGAAACCACGAGTAAACTCAATCAGAGTAAACGGCAACTCCAGGAATCTGACGAGATCAGGAAATGGCGGCGGTCATTTCGGAAAAAAAAACAAAACAAAAGAGGCATGCTCAAAAAAACACAACAAATATCGAGATCTAAAGAAAGATTATATATTTATGGGACTTGCCTTCGAGACACTTGGACCATGGTGCAAGGAATCACGAGATTTTCTGAATAAAATAGGCAAAGGCTTAATTGCGGAATCCGGCGACAAACGCGCTAAGCAATTTTTATTTCAAAGGATATCCTTGGCCATCCAACGTGGAAATAGTGCATGTATCCTGGGCACTCTCCCAACTGAAAAACAGTTCGACGAAATTTTTTTTGTTATAGTTAATTATTGTTTTCTTCTTTGTTACACAATTTTAAATATTTTGTTTAAATAAAGTTTTATACTCTGTTTATAAACAAAATTACAGCACACGGCCCGTACGGCAAATTCCCTGGCGGGAATGAAAGCAACAAACCACAAAGTAATTAGCGGTGTCTACGGGACATCAAATGCCGGAAAGCGAAATATCGTACCATGATGATGAGATGGAGATGACGGGTATGTTCTTCCCACGTGTCCGAAAATAGGGTTATGTCGTCGATGTAGATTGTAGAAATGTAGATGACAGCACATCCGGAGGTATCTTCAGTTTTTAAACGCTGGTGCGTTCTTCAGTCCAAACGGCACGACTTTAAAAGTTGTAGGTGGCCCCCAGGAACCTCCGCTGTTAAAAATGTCGCCGGTAGTCGACGCAGAATTTGCGTTTCCCGTCTCTTTTCTTCGTCATCACGATAAGTGAACAATATTCCGACGTGCTGGGCTCGATTTTCTCTGCCTTTAACTTACTTTATACGAGGAGGGGGAATGGGGTCAGAAGGATGTATCTTGTTGAAGAGAAATGTGACCATTTGTAGTTTTAAGAAAAATACATTTTCATATCCTATACCGGAGCTTGTTTTCATCCTGTGGATGGATACCACTCCTTCTTGAGAGTGAAGAATGTTTCATTGACAATAAGTACGGGAGTGCATAGACTGACTAATTGACTAATTCTAATCATCCATAAAGTTGTTTCTGAAGTTTACTTTTCGACATATTCGCGAGTGAAAGTTTCAAGATTTTAACAAAAAAAATAGATTTTCAGGCGGTTTTTGGCGCATAACTTAATAAGTGAGTATTTTATCGCAGAATCATTCTTAGTTAAAATGTAACTTAAACAAGATACAAAGAATCGGAAAATTTTGAGTAGGGGAATTTTTCGCCACTCAGCTCGTATTCGGAAACCAGACTTTTGATCCGGCTCATATTCAATAGCACTGATCCTTGAACTCGTACAAATCGATTCGCGACGGTTTTACGTCGCTATCTCTTTTCGTTCTCAAGTTAGACGAAGAACAGACGGACAAATCCATCACATAACAGATATTTTTTTTCTTTCGAAAAATTCCCCTAAAAACAGGATTAATGTTATGGTCTGTAAAGTACAGACCCAGTACCTACAAACGTAGCTTGTTGAAGGTTGGTTCTTATTCATCAAACGCCAAGATTAGAGGTTTGAACGTTGAACGTTTGAACAAAAAAACCAATGCATTTTAAATAGTCAGTTGTTCAAGCCTTTTCTGCCCAAATCCTTTCAAAAATAAGGGCCGAAAGTAAATGTAGTGTTGATGTAAAAAAGTGTATAATCAAGTCTTTAAAGAATGCGCAACGAGTTAATGACACAACGCGTAGCGGAGTGCCTTTAAACTTTGCAATTGCTTTGAAAACCAGTTATACATGTGTTTCTTATAGTATTTTTTTTTATTATACCAAGGGAAATAAAATAAAATCATATTGACGTTATACTCGAACACGAGTACGCTTTATTCGTAATTCCATGATTTCCATGGAAATGTCACTTGACGTTTGCTTATACAAGTCACCGTCTTTGTAATAGTTATTTACATAAAAGTCAGAAAAATGACACATTACTGGCATGGAAATATTGAAGTACGAGTCCCTTTGGGGCCGAGTACTTTAATTTCCGAGTCAAGTAATGTCATTTTACTGACGAGTTTTTTTTTGTATTAAATTTTACCCGAAATCGTATTTTAATAAAAAATTTCAATTTTTATATAGAACTTTTGATTAATGTCCATCTGTCAGTGATGACAGGACTCATTATAGACATTTGGAAATGTCACAAGTGCGGCCGGTAAAGTGACGATGCGGCCGGTAAAGTGGCAGGTGCGGCCAGTAAAGTGACAAGCGTCAGGAAACGTAGTCTGCTCTGCCTCTGTCATGGAAACTCAAATTTCCTGACAGAAAGTAGGCATGAAAATGAATTTCAGGACGATTTTGGGTAAACAAAATTACTTCGATTCATTCAATGGCTTGATGCAAAAGCAGAAGAAAAGTTGGTAGGTGCAAAATCCAAATCTAGTAAAACCTATTATAAAGAATATGAAAAGTTGTTTTCGTGGATGAATTGGAAGCATCTTACGAGCAAAGTCTTAAGTGCATCGATAATGCTGGCATATATGAAGGAAATGTCAAAGGTATGTAAATTCCCTATCTTTTGGTGCATTCATTCAAAACTTCAAATAATGCTGCGATTAAGAAATGGAACAGATTTAGCAGCATAGCCTAAATTACACGCGGTTCGTAAAAGCTTTAAAGAATAGGTACAAACCATTTACAAAAGCGACATAAGAAGATTTTATTTCAGCCTCAGATGACAGTTTTATAAGTCATATTGGAAGTGTCATTCCTTAGCAACCAAGTGCTTGAAAGGCCCGACTTCGCACGCATTTGAGTGTTCAAAACGGATATTGTGATTCAGGTCTAATAAAAAATAGTTTTTGAAGGATTTGATATCTTGAAAAGTAAGCTTTTTGAGTGATTCACTAAAAAGCGTGGGGTTTTTGTTGAAAAATTGGCACTCGCGAATAGATCGAAAAGTTGCTGAGAATTAATCACACTATCCATTCCCAGACTTATTTTCAATGAAACATTTTTCATCCCCCAGAACGTGGCCGTGCCAAGTTTGGTATTTCGTACAGTACCACATTCCTACAATTGGGTTAACTCGGCAGTCTACGCCATCTGAAAGTAATTTGAAATATTTGTAATGTATGAACGCAATTATTTCGAATCAATCCAATTTTCGCAAATTGGCATTCGCAAATCGTTTTCGCGCTACGTCGGTGTTATATTTAGTATATAAACTAGTAAATTTTCCCTTTTTTTCGCGTCTCGCCCGATACATAAATAACAATTTAAAAATATGCAAGAGCCAAATTTGTACAGTCCTGAAGGAATTAATTTATGAATGAACTTGAATCATCTTTATAAATATCAAGGTTTCAATTTTTTTATCAAAGCTTTTTTGTTGCAGGGACTTGCGTCCACAAAGTTTGGAGAAAAGTCAGGAGCGCTGCCGATTGCGTATTTACGAAGCGTACGCATGGGGTGGTCCTTTAATAATCGCCGGAACAGCAGCCGCCTTAGATAGCGTACCGAATAATTCCGATTACGATTTTTTGAGGCCAAGGTTCGGAACGAGTAATTGCTGGTTCCACGGTAAGTCTGAATTAAACGTTCAGAAGACGCAGTCTTCCATAGTACGATTCTATTATATTTCCGCATTCTCATAGATACCGCTATAAAGTAAAAGCCTCATGTTTATGTAGCATTTTTAGAAATACTGCAATGACATTTCTATAAAAATGCATAATTTAACAAATTACTGATTAGTGTAAATTGACCATTAAATTTGTAATACCTGTTACGTGCAAGAATTTTTAATAGCAGCGCAATGTGGCCACTTTAACTCTGCTCATAATGAGGATGGAGGATGCGCAAGAATTTCTAAAGCAACTGCTAGTTAGTCAACCTACGAAGATCGTTGCACTTTGATGGGTCTTGAATGTATAATAGTTTATTACGTGAATGTGCCTACGTAAATTTGATTTGACACACTTGACTCACGCATTTAATAACATTAACGCTAATTGAAAGTGTACATTTGTTGGCCGCGGAAACTGCAATATTAAAGATTCTTCAATTGTATCACCCACACAAGCAATTATACGACCTTCAGGCAGCCTTTACAAATAAAAATTCCTCAATAAATTTAGCATCCTTCACATTGAAAACCTCTCGCCATTCATTTATTTACATTTTTATCGCCCAGCTCTGCGGCGCTTCCTTTTCCCATGACTACAACTTCGAGAAAATTACAGCGACTTAATCGTTTTCATGTTGAAAAAGTAATTCACATCCTTCGTAATTGAAAATGCGTGAAGGTCAAGTTAATGATACTCTTTCTCGCTGTACAGTAACCAATCGTGCAGAACTGTTGAGGTCCGAGTATGGCCGTTACCATTAGTAGTGGTTACATTTCGCTAACTTTGATCAATGTTGCACTCCAGAAAGTGATCAACAGTAAAGAAATTGCAAACGAAGCAGTTGGTATGCGGTGCGGCTTATAAAAGACACCGCCGGCCATAAACCACAAAAACGTATTTTAAGGTTCGTATGCTGGTAGCTCTTGATTACTTCGGCTAATGAAGATTTTAATAAAGCACGTATATTTGCTACCCACTACTTACGTGCTTCAACTACCGGTTTCCGTTTCTTTGTTTTCACTGCAGAGATGAAACTTACATTACAGGCTCCGACTCGACAATGAGGGTCATCTCTTTTGGAGATTGAAATTTCAATAGTCGGCGTACGTGAGTTCTTCAATGAAGAATGTTTTTGACAAAAAAGTGATTTTTGTCTAATGTTTTCCACCTCTTCAATGCGTTCCGGACAGCAAGATGTACCTATGCTATGTCTCTATCCAGTTATTGCCAAGGTCTCAAAAAGTTGCAATGTGCAGTTTATAATGGGGCTAATTGGTCTGAAAAATCAGTTTTTGTTAATTTAAGATATGGGATCGACTATAATGATTAATGACAATTTTGTGCTGGATGCATGATTGTAACTGCCAATTTTTTTTTCCTACAGTCAAATGTGAATTGCCCTACCGAATTCGCGATTTTGAATTCAATTCTATTAAAGTTAGACTCAAGACTGCACTGTTAGGACCTTTGAAAATGATTCAAAAGCTAAACACTGCAATCGAGCTCCTGGGTATGCCTAATTGGCTATAGCTTGGCATTTCCTATTATATGGCTAAAGCTATGCTCATTTTGAATTTCATGCGTTTGGGTTCATAACTAACGGAGATGTCAAAAGGGCCCTCTTTATTTTTTGGCCTACATTGCCAATTCGCGAACTCCGATCTAAAAATTTGTGAACGAATCTACCTGCAAATTCCACCTGTCCACCAAGTTGCAGTCTCAGTGGTCTATCGGAAAATACATCCCATAGGATGGGGCCAAGTATCGAACCTTGCGAGACACCGCACATTACCTCCCTTGACTTTCCATCCTGGGGTATTATGTATCTTCCAGGTATAATTTTATTATGTTGATCAGATACCCGCCGATGTTCGTCGTCGCCCGTAGCCTCTCGTACTTCTCCATTTTTACCAGCCGCACGTTAGTAAAAGGAGGAAGGGGTAAACATGACTCACCACTTTCCGAAGGAAATTTCCCTTTCGAAGCACCTGGAATCCGAATCAAATAAAATCTCGATGAGATCGGTCTGTTTTTCTGTGCTCTTATTTCCGACTAAACGGCTGCACCGATTCGAACCAAATAGACGGAAGAGCGGAAAAGCTGTTGGGCATGCGCAGATGTGAGTGGTATCTGTGCTACCAACAACACATTTGGAAACATCTCTCACGCACTTTCCGAATTTCTTCCATAGACGCTTCTGTCGCCAGCGTCTCGGGTATGTTTCTAATACGTTCGTCTTTGAATCTCCTCCACTTACATTCCGCCATTTTGCAAAGATTCTCCTTGTTAGTTTTTTGTATAGCATATTGTAAACTGGAAGCGGCTGGTCTTATGGTCCCTTAGGTTCTCATGTTGACTATCCCCACATCTGGGGCATATTAGTTTTAAATGCTTTCTCCGCTGTCCTCTTTGCATGTCGCTGCCTTATGTCCAAATTGTTGGCGCTTGAAGCACCTATCGGGCTGCAAGCATTCGTCCACCATGGACGTCATCCAACGTACTGGTATTCCTTTTTTTTAACATGGCAGTTGACACCGTATTTCTCTCCTGGCGATGTTGCCTGATTTGGTTTTTCTATTCTGGATCTTCTTTCTCCTTGATCGCCTTCTTTTGACACTCCTCGAAAATCAAATCATTCAGGTCTCTGATCGATGCGGTTCTGTTGCTCGCGTTCACCTTTGACCTGCTGCTTGCAATTTCCCTAAGAAAATATTGAGTCTTCCAGTGTATTCTAACGCTTTCCAGACGCTGCGCAGCATTTTAGAGAGTTTTGGAATTTTTCACAGTTGCTTACTTTCCAGGAAAGGTTTTTAAGTGTCTAGAAAGAGTTGGAAAAGTGTATTTAAACGCTATGGCTTAGCTTGGCCTTTTTCCGAATCTTGTAAGTGCATTCCAGAGCGTTATTTGTGCGCCTTTCTGGCATTGTGTAGAACGCTTTCTTGATTTGGAGGCCATTTTAAGAGCGTTTTACACGGTTGTTTTCCAGAAATAGGAAAGCGTAAAACGTAAAAATACCCAGAAAGCTTTGAAAAACTCGTAAAAGTTGTGATATGGCGATAATGATCTAGAGGGGTATCAGGGTGATTCCTATAGTACCTGCCACCGTTTGGGAGCGTGTAGGTGGTGCGTAGGGGAGTATTTTGATATAGGACACTTGGGGTCGGAAATCTAAAATAAGGGTGCCAGAGCCAAATTTACCTTCTGGAATTTCGCGCCTGTAGGTAGGCAACCCAACCGGCCGGCGGTGCACACGGAGCGATCTCAGGCGGCGATGTGTGGCTGACACTTGATCAGAATTTTGTTTAAACCCACGAAATCCCGTCTGCAACGACGCGTATCAAGTGAATAAACACTATGGCACGTTTTACTAACACGGAATACGCGGACATCATGTACCCGGCAGGGACGTAACTAGGTACCCGCAGCTACAGCGACTGCGGGGGGGCCCCAGAGTGCTGGGGCCCCCAACTAATCTCCTTATTTGAGTATTCTCAACTTCTTTGAGAAAATTGTGATTAGTTTGGTTGATGAATTTGCTGCTACTGTACATTTAAAATTTTTATAATGTATAATATCGTCTTAACCTTTTTTTGTTTATTTTAAGGCAAAACTTGTAAAAATTAATAAAAATTCTTCTTAGGAACTGCCTTTTTGTTTAGGGACTTGGGGAGAGGGCCAATAAAAATTTTTGCGGGGAGGCCTCAAAATTATAGTTACGTCGCTTGATGTACGGATTGGCAAATGGTAACGCACGAGCTGCACGACGAGCGTACGCTGAGCGGTATCCAAACCGTCAGTTTCCCTGCAGACAGGTCTTTCAAGAAGTTCACTTCCGACTGTGCGAGACAGGGCAATTGCAGGTAAGCTGACGGAGGCTTAACTTTACACACAGATTCGTGATGGGTGATGCACATCGATACTTGGGTCATTTAAGCACCCATTTCGAAAAGTTTGTTTGTTTACACCGACCTCCTCCTATTTCGCAGCCCACTAGCGCCCGTGTGCACGCCGCCGGTTGGTTGCTACCTACAGGCGCGAAATTCCAGAAGGTAAATTTGGCTCTGGCACCCTTATTTTAGATTTCCGACCGCAAGTGTCCTATATCAAAATACTCCCCTACGCACCACCTACACGCTCCCAAACGGTGGCAGGTACAGGGAATACCCTCGTATACATTAAAATGGACGGTATTCCCTGTACATTATGGATTTAAAATGTATATACATAAGATATCGAATGCTATGTGGGATTTTGTCTCACATGACGTCATATAGTTCGTTAGTTTTGTTATAGCAATTAACACTTTCTGCAATTACGTATTTTCAGGTGTCAGTGTTAAGTAACAAATTACAAGATTTGTAAAAGAAACTTTGCAATTGTAAATAAAAAGATAGTGCAACTGATTAGTAAAATTTAAGGGTTGGGTTTTATAATCTCCTCTTTTATTTACGTTTTTTTCTAGTAAAAATCGAACGTTCGCGCGAGTAAATGTGTGAAAAAAGCGATAGCACATCGTAGTGATGGTGTTTCATTGGACTGTACGCGTGAATAACTCTAATCATGGCGTTTTAAAAAAAAATCAAATTCACTTCGCTTCGTGTCCCAAACTAATTACTCAATTTTGCCACTAAGGGTGTTAAATACAAGGGTAGGTACCATGAAACCACCCTGACTACGTCGTTTAGAGAGATCCGCGGTGCTAAATCAACAGTAAGCGACACCGCCATTAATTTTACTGCCATTTGAAACGTGCATGTGTAACAAAGGGTCCCGTATTTTTGCCAGTAAAAATGCTTAATAATTTATCCGTCCGCCATACTTCACGCAAAACTTCGGGATGCCTATAAATAGTGTGCCGGTGTTACAAATTGGCCAATTTTAAACGATCGACCTAATTACCTGAATAATGGCGGAACCTTTTTTTTGTTTATTGTCAGCTCTCATAACATTTCACCCGTAGGAAGAATCTGGAAAATCTCATACGTAAAGATCGTGCCTCTAAATTTAGGTAAATTATGCTTTGCGAAGATTATACGCTTCTC